AGACTCCATCTCAAAAATAAATAAATAAATAAATAAATAAATAAATAAATAAAAATTTAAAAAATAAAATAAAAATAAATAAATTTTTAAAAAGAGTCCTTTAAAAAAAAAAAGGCCATGAAATGTAACAAACCAGGGCTGATCTCATCTCAGAGAGCTCCGTTTGCTCTCCCCTCTGAGAGTGGAATACTGTGCTTCATAAACGTTTGCTCCTTCCCTTTGCCGTCTGTGCACGTCTCATCCAATCCTGTGTTTTGGACACCAGGAGACGGGAACTGCACGGTACCACCCAGAAACAATCTGACACAGACACACACACGCACACACACAGACGACCTGCCCTAGGGAAGACAGAGAGACAGAAACAGAGAAGCTGAGAGACAGGCAGTGAAGAGCATTCAGAGCCTAAAACGTAAACACTGAGAGAAACTCCAGAGACGGTGAAAGAGACAGAGACAGGGAGAGGAACCAGAACACAAATGGGGGAGATGAAGTCAGAGAGACAATACAGAGGAGAGAGGCTGGGCGCGGTGGCTCTCGCCTGTGATCCCAGCACTTTGGGAGGTCAAGGCAGGAGAATCGCTTGAACCCAGAAGTTTGAGACCAGCCTGGGCAACATAGTGAGACCCCATCTCTATAAAAGAAAAAAAATCAGCCAAGCATGGTGGCAGGTGCCTGTAGTCCCAGCTTCTCAGGAAGCTGAGGTGGAAGGATCCCTTTAGCCCAAGAGGTCAAGGCTGCAGTGAGCCAGGATCACACCACTACAGTGCATCCTGGGTGGCAGAGCCAGACTCTGTCTCTAAAAATAGATATACACAAACATACACACATACATAGATGATCGATCCATAGATAGGTAGGTGATAGATAGTTGATAGTGGAGAGAATTGTAGACAACTCAGGGATGGACAGAAAGCCATGAGGAACAGAAGAGGAAAGAGCAAGAGCAGGGGAGATGGAGAGATAGCAATGGGGCTAGTGCGAGTCACAGACAGCTGGCAGGCAGAGGGACGAAGGGGCAGAGTACAAGAGGCTGTCTAGGAGGCTGCAGACCCTTGGAGACACCCAAGAGAAACAGGGGAGGCCCACGATGTGCCCGACACAGACACCGGCCACACCAGGCCCAGCAGCCCCACCTGTGCAGTGGTTCAGCACAGTGGCAGTGTCAAGCACGGCAGAGGTGGCAGTCAACGTGTGTGTGCCGTGGCTGGTGAGGGCACTGGGTGTCTGGCTGTCCTACTGCAGCTGGTCTCACCATGCTCTGCTGACAGGAAACTGGACCTCTGGCAACATCACTGGCTGCACTCAGCCTCAGCTCCCAATATGTCCCCACCTGCTTGCTGGCCCCCACCCTAGGCCTGGTAGGACCTCAGCTGCTGACCTTGCCCATAGTACTGCTGGCCAGTGAGCGGGCCTGGCAAGAAAACTCATGACGTCAGGCTCAAATCCCTGCTTCAGGCAGGAGAAGCAGCGCGTGCGGTTCTAGGTACTAAGCCGTGGTCATTTCTTTTTTTTTTTTTTGAGACGGAGTCTCGCTCTGTCACCCAGGCTGGAGTGCAGTGGCCGGATCTCAGCTCACTGCAAGCTCCGCCTCCCGGGTTTACGCCATTCTCCTGCCTCAGGCTCCCGAGTAGCTGGGACTACAGGCGCCCGCCACCTCGCCCGGCTATTTTTTTGTATTTTTTAGTAGAGACGGGGTTTCACCGTGTTAGCCAGGATGGTCTCGATCTCCTGACCTCGTGATCCGCCCGTCTCGGCCTCCCAAAGTGCTGGGATGACAGGCTTGAGCCACCGCGCCCGGCCTACCGTGGTCATTTCTTACACCAGCTTCAGGAAGCACCCTGGCTTCCCAGCGCACACCCCCGAGGGTGGGTTCTGAGCAGAGACTGAGGATGTCACACCTGGCGCTCCCCCACCCAACCTGAGACCCAGGGTCCCCGCTCCGGCCAACATCCAGAAACAGGGGGACCCGGCCCATCCTCTGCCTCCCACAGACACCAGGGGTCCCAGTCCCTCCACAACACACCCTGGGGAAGACTGCGCCCTGTTCTCTCGTCCCCTCCCGTCCTGCCTCACCCCTCTCCTCTCCTCTCCTCCCTCACTCTGCTGCTCAGGATTCTATGAGCCCCAGGATTTCGGGGGCAACCCCCCAGGAGCCAACCCCTCCTGCAGTCTGGAGACCTCGGCCGGCAGCAGCCCCTTTGGGAGCCTCGGTTTCCCCTCCTAAGGCCCTGGGCTGAGCAGAGGGAGGGAGGCACAGGTGTGTCTGGGGGTGAGTGGGCAGATGCAGCCCAGCTCCCCTCCCTCCCAGCCCCCTCCCCACGGCTCCAATTAAGGGTCCTCCACGCTCAATCGCTGCATTTGACTCACTGGCGGCCTCACCTCCCGAACCACGCCTTTGTTCCCTTAATTGGCCATCTCCAGGCACTATTCTCTGTCCCCCGCTGGCGTGTGCTGGTCCCATATCCTAGGTCCAACTATGCGCTAATTGGGCACTTAGAGGGCCCCAGAAAGCCCCTCCCCTCCCTGTTCCCTGCCTTCCTATATCAGCCCCCACCTGCCAGTCCCTCGGACTTCAGGTCGGGCTCCTGGGAGGTGGGGGCAGGGTTAGGGTGCAGTGGGGAGGCCTTGGACCAATCACCAGCCCTGCTTCCTCCCCAGCCCGGGGTACCTGGGACTCCAGAGTCCCCTGCCCCTCCCTGCTCACAGATTTGGGGGGTACTTTGGTCAGCAGTATTGTGGGGAGTTACTTCAGACCACCCCGGCCATGCATCCCGGGGTCCCCGAAGGCCCCGGGGTCTCTGAGCCCAGCCCCCGGGAGCTGTGTGCCTTCGTGAGCGGGGCGGCTGCCCACATGCTGCGGGCCCTGCAGCCCCGGCGCACCCGACCCCCCAAGAGGCGGCCCAACCACAGAAGGTTTCTGCACAACCAGATCTGCAGGTGAGGGGCCGTGGGGAAGGTGGGAATGGGAGGGGGAGGAGGGGGACGAGCAACCAGCACCCTTGGCTGGGGGAGACCAGGCACAAAGAGGAGCAGCCCCCAGGGCTGGATGCCAGCAACAGTCAACATGTATTTATTGAGTGCCTACTGTGTGCCAGGCCAGTTAGCAAAGCAGATAAAGTTCCTTGCTGTCGTGGAGGTTGTGTTTTCATGGGGGTGGCAGGCGGTCAGGACTCACCAAAATAAATAACTAGCATGGTGTGATGCAACCACATGGGTGAACCTTGGAAACATGATGCTGGCCGGGGGTGGTGGCTCAAGCCTGCAATCCCAGCACCTTGAAAAGCTGAGGCAGGAGGATCACTTGAGTTCAGGCGTTAGAGACCAGCCTGCTCACATCTGTCTTTACAGGCAGTTCACCAAGATTGAGGCCGCCACCCAGCGCCTGGCCCTCTCCATCCTGTCCCAGGAGGCACCTCCCCAGAGACCCTCGCTCCAAAAGCCACCCCCGCCGCCTCCATCCCCCTTCCTGGGAGTGGCCTGTGCTGTGGCCCCCACTGAGGCTCCCCATGCCAGCGCCAGCCTGAGTCTCACTGCCCTGGACACCTCTACCCTCGACCTCTTTGACAACATTGTGCTCACCCCAGAGTGTGCCTCAGTGCCACAGGACCCCTCCTCTGGTCCCACTCCCCTGCCAGTGCCGGGTCTGTCCTATCTCGACCTGGGCCAGCCGGACCTGAAGCAGGTCCCACATTTCTGTGGCCCCCTGCCCCTTCCCCAGCATGCCCTGGGGGAAGAGGCTGGTCTCGCGGCTCCCGACTGGGGTTGGGTGGACTGGTGGGAGGTGCCTCGTGCCTGGGATTCTCAGGGGATCCCTGAAGGTTGGGGGACCAGCTCCCCATAAGGCCAATCACAACCCAGTTCAGAACCCAGGACAAGCCAGAGGCCCCTCCATGACAGCTCTCCAGCCCTCTCCCGGAGCCCCCAACCTGTCCGCTCCCTTCCTGGCAGCCCCTGGTAAAATAAACCAACCCAGACCACCTCCTCAGACCACTGCCTCAGGGGTCTCCTCCTGGGCCCAAGGGCCCCCCTCCACCTCTTCTGGAGGCCCCATTCTTGCTTTCTCGCCTTTTCCCTTCCTTCTTCCTTGCCCCATCTTGGCATCCACCCCTCGCTCTCAGCCGGACTTACCTCTGCCTAATGTCTGCTTTTCTCTCATTTATTCCCAAAGACGGATGGAGCGCCTGCTATGGACCAGGCCCAGGTCTAGGACTTGAGGATTCAGCAGTGAATGAGGCAGATGGGATCCCTGCCTCAGGGAGCTCCCTGTTCTGTGTGCATGTGTGTGTTTTGGCGGGGAACTGACAATAAAAGAGTATATCCATGCATTTTTCAAAAAGCAAGATTCATTTCCAATTCAGATTGGAGTTAGTGCTGAAAAGAAAATAAAACACAAGGCCGGGTGCAGCGGCTCACACCTGTAATCCCAGCACTTTGGGAGGCTAAGGCAGGCGGATCACTTGAGCCCAGGAGTTCAAGACCAGCCTGGGCAACAGAGTGAGACCTCCGTCTTTATAACAAAATAAAAAAATTAGTCAAGTGTGGTGGCGCATACCAGTGGTCCCAGCTACTCGGGAGGCTGAGGTGGGAGGATTGCTTGAGCCCGGGAGGTTGAGGCTGCAGCGAGCTGTGATCTTACCACGGTACTCCAGCCTGGTTGATAGAGCAATTTTTTCTTTTTTTTTTTTTTAATGTTTCAAAACAATTAAAAACAGCGACCTGATGGAAGGGCTACCTGACACCAGGTGGTCAGGAAAGGCTTTGAAAGCCTGGAAGGCTGGGCCATGGGAAGTCCTAGGATTCCAGGCTGAGAGAGCACACGTGCAAAGGCCCTGCGGTGGGACATTGAGGGAACAGCAAGGGGAGACCCATGTGGCTGGAGCGGAGTGAGCAGGGGGAGTGGTGAGAGGCGAGGTCCGCGGGAACCAGGAAGGCCAACCACGAATTGGGAGGAGTTTGGACTTATTCCAAGTCAGTTAGGAAATTCCCTCTTTCTCTCAACCACCATTTCCAAGCACAGAGTCTAAATTATTCTAAACCCCACTCGAGGAGGCAGGTGCTGTACAGATGGGGAAACTGAGGCAGCGCATAGCACAAAGGACAGGGGGGCGTCAAACTCCTCACTTGATCACGCCCTCAGCCAGCCCCTTCCTAGAAAGTGCTTGGGTATCTTTGTAGGCCTCCGTTTCTTGACAGAGGGCCAGGATTCGAACCGCAGACATGCCTCTACTCTAGGTAAGACCCCTCTCTCTCTCTCCCCCGGCCTCGGCGACCTGTTCGGTGCAACGGGGCCGGCCGAGACGCCCTCTCTCAAGCCAGGATCTGAGCCTTCGGAGACCACTGCGCGACTCTGCCTCGTCGGCCGCCACTCACGCCCTCTACGGCTCTCCATTGGCCGGACGCGCTGCTGCCCCGCCCCCACCGCGACTTTGCGAGCTAATCATTTTCTCCAGACTGACAGCCTTGCCGGCGCCCCTCCCCTGGGGCGGGAGCAAAGCAGCAGCATATGCGGATTGGTTGAGAAGCAGGGGGCGGGGAGAGTTGGTGAGCGCTGATTGCGGGCAGAGGCAGTGGCACATGCGGATTGGCCGGAGGGAGGGGGCGAGGCAGCGCATGATGAGTGTCGATTGGACGGCTCGACCCAAGTGGGCGGAACGCGGACGGTGCAGGGGGTGGGCCACGTGTCCAGCCCCAACGAAACGGTAACCCGCCCCGAGAAGCCCGCAAGAGGCCTCAGCGGCGGCCGTCCGAGCGCCGAGAGGTGAGGGTGCCCCCGGCCTCACCTGCGGAGGGGCCGTTCCGGGCTCGAACCCGGCACCTTCCGGGTAAGTCCTCTCTCACTGCTGGCGCTATTTGGAGATCGACCTTCCCGCCTAACAGATGGGGAAACTGAGGCTCTGCCTGGTCGTCCCGGGCCAAGGTCACAGAACCAGAAGGAGGACGCCACGTGGCCCCGCCAGAATTGACTGGCCAGAGACCCGAAGCGTCCCCGGGTCGCGCCTGCCGCCTCTGTAACAGCGCTGCAGGGTGGGCAGGTTTCATCCCCATTTATCTGACGAGAAAACTGAGGCTAAGACAAAGAGAAACTTGCCCTGGGTCGCACAACCAGGAAGTCCAGGCTCCAAGGCCAGGTTTCCGAGACCGCGTCGGGAAATCCACAGCCCTACCCCGCCCCCGTTGCCGCCCACCTCCAGCCACGCCCCCTTTGGCCTTGGATACCCTCCGCTCAGGCTGAACCTCTCCTCGTTCCCCGGGACACGCCCAGCCCTCTCCAGCCCAGACCTCCCCTCCACATCTCTCTCGCTCACACACACATCCACTCTCACCCCAGTTTTTCATCTCCCCCAAACCAGTTCCCCTCTCCGGGATCTCCTATGAGTCTTCAGGTCATGCCCCTCGCTCGACCAGAAACGGGGGGCCTTTCTCACCGACTTTCCCCACCGTCCCAGCTGTCCCTTCCTGTCTCTCCCCTGTCCCACTGGGCCCCAGCCCCGACCTCCTCCTCCCTGGCCTTTGCCTCCAGTTCAACCGCACAGCGGGGCCATGAAGCCATCTTTGTATTTTGCATTTTGAACACTTTTTCTGGAATAATACCACATACGCAGAAAATCATACAGTTTGCACATACACAGCTCAAATAAATATTTATAAAGGGAGCACCCTGGTGTAAACAAGTACCCAAAGAAAAAAGCCAAACATGCGCCACATCCCAGGATCTCCTGCCGTCGTAGTTTCCATCACAGTGGTCCAAGGGCAATCACTGTCCTGGCTTCTGACATCATAGATCATTTTTGCTGGGTTTTGGCTTCACTTAAACCCTTTATTGTGTATAGTATTGACTAGACAACCTGTTGCACATTGTCCAGAATTCAGAAGAAACAGAATAGGACCTAGTGAAAAGGCTCCTACACACTTCCCCAGTGCCTGGTTCACCCGTCTGAGTCTCCCGTTTCTTGCTCGTTTGCCAGAGATAGCAGATACAGATATATGCAACACAGACACACTTTCTCTCCCTTTTTTCTTTGGCACAAAAAGGAGCATTCCACACACACTGTTCTGCTTCTTTTTCACTTCTCTCAAACATGTTTTCGTATTGTTACTTAAAGAACTTCCTCGTAATTTTTTCTGGCTGCGAGGAATAACAGAGTATAGTTACGGCATAACCATACTGGTTATTACATAACCAGTATACCCTAATTGTGGACATTGATACTTCTGCTCCTTTGCTCTGGGGAAGAGTCCTGTAATGAATAACCCTGTGTCGTTTCACATGAATGTCTGTAGGATAAATGCTTAGGAGCAGCTTTTGAGGTCAGAGGGTTTGTGTATCCATCATTTTGAGAAGTACAGCTGCTCGGCTGTCCCTAGGAGTTGTTACAACCCACACTGCTGTCAGGCCAGAGGGGAGTTCTTGGGTGCTACAGATGCCTGTCCTAGGCTTTTGGACATGCTGGCCCCCAGATGTGCCCCTCCATGGCTCCCGACTGCCCTCAGCAGAGAGACTCCAGGGCCCTCGTGACCCACCTGTCAGCTCTCCAGCTCCTGGTTCCCTCAGAATCATCCCTTGGGGCCTGAGTGTCCCAGGTCCTGCCTCCTGCTCAGAGGAGGAAGGGTTAGCACGTGAGTGGGTATGAGAGGGTCACTCCAGGGGGAGGAAACCGCAAGGGCTGTTTGAGAGGAAGGAGTGGCTGGGCTGAGGCTGGAGGGTCTTCAGAGCAGTGCCGGAGCGGGGAAAGGGGCGTCTGCATCTTAGTCCTGAGGACAGAGAGAATCCACGGGGGTCAGGGGACAGTTTGAGACAGAGGAGTAATAGTCAGCTTTGTGTTTTCTGAAAAGATCGTTTTTCTGTCTTCACTTCCTCTGGGAGAACACTGCAGCCCCTGCCAAGCTGGATCTGGCTCCCTCCAAATCCCAGCACTTATCACTGTTGTAATTATGGGATTAATTCACTGATTTTGTTTCAGAGGGAGTTTCCATTCAATTTTATTTAGTGAGATAAAATTTGCACAACATAAAATTCACTATTTTAACCATTTATTCATTTTTAAACTTGAGATATGATGCACATAGAAAACATTTGCTATGGTGGATGGATTTTATTCAAAGAATAATCGGCCAGGCGTGGTGGCTCACGCTTGTAATCCCAGCACGTTGCGAGGCTGAGGTGGAAAGATTGCTTAAACCCAGGAGTTGGAGACCAGCCTGGGCAACATAGCAAGACCCTGTCTCTGAAAATATAAAAATACAAAAATTAGCCAAGTGTGGTGGCATACACCTGTAGCTCTAGCTACTTGGGAGGCTGAGGTGGGATGATCACTTTAGCCCAGGAGGTTAAGGATGCAATGTGCTATGACTGTGCCACTGTACTCCAACCTAGATGACACTATGAGACCCTGTCTCAAAAAGAAAAAATAGTACAGGGAGGCCAAGGCAGGAGGGTTGCTTGAGGCCAGGACGAGAGAGAGAAAGAAAGACAATGAGCAGCAGTGTCCTCACTACCCAGCTTTGAAAATAGCAGCTCCAGGCCAGGTGCGGTGGCTCACACCTGTAATCCCAGCACTTTGGGAGGCCGAGCCAGGTGGATCACGAGGTCAGGAGTTCAAGACCAGCCTGGCCAAGGTGGTGAAACCCCATCTCTACTAAAAATACAAAAATTAGCCGGGCATGGTGGCGCAAGCCTGTAATCCCAGCTACTCGGGAGGCTGAGGCAGGAGAATCCTTGAACCCGGGAGGCAGAGGTTGCAGTGAGCCGAGATCGTGCCATTGCACTCCAGCCTGGGTGACAGAGCAAGACTCCATCTCAAAAAAAAAAAAAAGAAAAGAAAAAGAAAATAGCAGCTTCTCATTGAGTGCCCTGGCTCCCTCAGCTTCCCAGAACACCTTCTGTCTTGCTTCTAATGAGCCTCCAGGGTCTCCCATTTCCCTGGTGAGTTAATGAATAAATGAGTTCAGTACAAACAAATTGTACACACAGACGGGGAGAGAGTTGCAGACAAAGCGCAACCCAAACCCTCAGTTGTGCAGCAAACTCAGGGACCCAAAAACACCAGCCTCCCAGGGACACAGGCCAAGACATGCTGAGACAGGGCCCCTGTGGTGTAGACGCTCTGACAGTGTAGACGCTCTGACCGAGTGGAAGTCAGGTGTGCCCTGCATGGCTGCAGGACCTAGGACAGGTGAACAGGCCCTCTGGGTCGAGGTTTCCTCCTCTGCAAAATAATCGCTGGCCAGGTGGCTTCACTAGCCTGTCCCACAGTGGAGCAGCATTCACAGAGTCATGCTGTTGTGCCGCCGTCACCACCAAGCCCCAGAGCATTTTCAGTATCCCAAACAGAAACCCTACACCCCTCAGCGGTCACCCTGAATTCCTCGCGGCCACAGCCCCTGGCAGCCACCCATCTGCTTTCTTTTTTTTTTTTTTGAGACGGAGTTTTGCTCTTATTGCCCAGGCTGGACTGGCAGTGGCGCCATCTCTGCTCACCGCAACCTCCACCTCCCGGGTTCAAGCAATTCTCCTGCCTCAGCCTCCTGAGTAGCTGGGACAACAGGCGTGCACCACCACACCTGGCTGATTTTGTGTTTTTAGTAGATATGGGGTTTCACTATGTTGGCCAGGCTGGTCTCAAACCCCTGACTGCAGATGATCTGCCCGCCTCAGCCTCTCAAAGTCCTGGGATTATAGGTGTGCGCCACCGAGCCGTCTCCTTTTTTTTTTTTTTTTTTTTTTTTTTTTTTGAGACAGAGTCTCGCTCAGTCGCCCAGGCTGGAGTGCAGTGGTATAATCTCGGCTCACTGCAACCTCCGCCTCCTGGGTTTCAAGCGATTCTTCTGCCCCAGCCTCCCAAGTAGCTGGGTTACAGGCGCCCACCACTGCCTGGCTAATTTTTGTATTTTTAGTAGAGATGGGGTTTTGCCATGTTAGCCAGACTGGTCTGAAACTCCTGACCTCAGGTGATCCGCCTGCCTCAGCCTCCCAAAGTGCTGGGATTGCAGGTGTGAACCACTGTGCTCGACCCCATCTGCTTTCTGTCTGCGGATTTGCCTGTTCTGGGCATTTCAGGTAAACAGGATCTCACACTCCATGGCTTTTGTGTTGAGGTCTGTCCATGCTATGGCTTGTTCAGGGGCCCCCTTTCTTCCTATGGCTGAAGAATATGGCCTCAGTTTCCTCTTGGAGCGAGGTGAGGATCAGGTGGGCCGTTCAGGAGGCCCTGGGGCGTGGGCTGGCCCAAAATAGGATGCCCAGCAGAGCCTCCATTTTGGGGCTGATGGTAACCGGGGCTGATGGTAACTGGGGCGGATGGTAACTGGGATCTGATAGTAACCAGGGCGGATGGTAACCGGGGCTGATGGTAACTGGGGCTGATGGTAATTGGGGCGGATGGTAACCAGGGCTAATGGTAACCAGGGCTGATGGTAACCCAGATCTATTAGTAACCGGGATCTGATAGTAACCAGGGCTGATGGTAACCGGGGCTGATGGTGACTGGGGCAGATGGTAACCAGGGCTAATGGTAACCAGGGCTGATGGTAACCCGGATCTATTGGTAACCGGGATCTGATAGTAACCAGGGCTGATGGTACTGGGGCTGATGGTAACTGGGATCTGATAGTAACCGGGGCGGGTGGTAACCAGGGCAGATGATAACCAGGGTGGATAGTGACTGGGGCGGATGGTAACCAGGGCGAATGGTAACCAGAATCATGAAGCACTCCTTGATGTTATACATAGTCCTCAGCAAGGAGAACACGGGGGCTGGGAGGGGGACACCTGGAGCCACGTGTGGACGTGGCCCAGAAGGCTTCCCAAGGAAGTCACCTCCCTGCCGAATAGGACAGAAATAAGAAAGAAGCCCGTTCCAGGCTCAGGGAACGGCAGACGCAGAGACCTGGAGGTGGGAAGAAGGTTGGCAAGGTGCCCTGGGCCCTGCAAGGCTCTGTGTGCAAGGACCTGGACGCCAGCTGGAGACATTGAGAGGAGTCCTCGGGCCTGACCCAGCGCCCCTCTGCCCACCCCCAGAAAATGGCGGCTGCCAGGCCCATCCTGGGCCGAGTCCTTCCAGGATCCTCTATCCTGTTCCTGTGTGACATGCAGGAGAAGTTCCGCCACAACATCGCCTACTTCCCACAGATCGTCTCAGTGGCAGCCCGCATGCTCAGGGTATGACCTCAGCCCTCCACCCTCAGACCCAGGATCCAGGCTCAGCCCTCCACCCTCACCCAGGATCCAGGCTCAGCCCTCCACCCTCACACCCAGGATCCAGGCTCAGCCCTCCACCCTCAGACCCAGGATCCAGCCTCAGCCCTCCACCCTCACACCCAGGATC